TTTGTATATTTATGTGGAGTTAGTGTTGGAGTCTGTGTTGTGCTGGAGGCAGGTCGTTTTTTAATGTTATCAGACTCCATGTCGTTAGCTGCAGTGCCGTCGAATAGACTGTATATAAAAAGGAGAGAGGCTCGGGAGCGTGCATGCACGTCACATCCGATGGATTTCGCAGAAAATCTGACCCGGAGACCTCACATAAAATAGGAATACCGGCCTTCAGAGGTAATAGCAAAACCCGACAAGTGGATCATTGTAATGTGTGATTACAACCCCTTCACACACAGGTAATAAAAAAGGATTCATTTTAGAAGAAAAGTTACATATAGCACCTTTAAGACCAGCGCATGCAAATTATAACCCAGAGATCGGTACTGCGCATGCGTCTATGACGTCACCACAACACACCTCCATCCACTACGTATTGGACCATCCAGCTACGTCATTGTGCTACAGCATGCAGCGAGGGGTGTCTCCGCTGGTTCCAACCGTCGGCTTGGTGTGTCCCAGGCTTTACACAGACAAGTCGTGCACAGTCTGCACACACAGACTCTCCCGGTGCTTGCTATGTTGTATTCTAAGTCATGCAAGCATTTGAACAACGTCGTTGTAAATCTGTTCATCATATAAAGTCATTGTGTCTCTTCAAAAGACTTGGATTTGGATTAGGTCGCACTCGATTGATTGTTATTACGATGCCTTTATGAAATGTTTTGGATCTTTTAAGATTTAGAGGCATGGACATTAAGTGGAGGGACAGAAATCTCTGAGGTATAAAAATATCTTAATTTGTGTTTGGGAGTTTAATGAAAATCTTACAGGTTTGAAGCGACACGAGGGTGAGTACATGGTGACAGAATTTACATTTCTGTCAGGACCACTATTGTCAAATACGATTGACAATTAGCATACAGTTTGGATTGGCGGTATGGTTCCGTTCTGGGCGAGAACTCCCTGCGCATCCATGCAGCCTAGCATGGATAAGAGCAGGGAGAGCAGCAATAACCCCCCTTAGGGTAAACAGAACAGAACCAACATGAATGTATTGCAGATATCATTAATTCAAGATTTTAAAATACAACATAATTCGAGAATTTATTCTGATTCAAGGGGAATCAGAATGCCGAATGCTGACTGGGCGAGAGGAGGAGCTGGGGATGGAGGAGGGTAATTAGCTCCTGAGAAACGCGATAGCTGCTGATAATACTGAAGGCGCTTATATGTATACAGTGATAGGCGTTGAATTCCTAGGTAGACGTGGATCAGCTGAGAGACAGCTGATGCAAGCTTGACTAACGTGACCTGCCAGAACTGATGCTACGCTTGATTTTTGGGTGAATTATACCTTATAAATTCAGTAAGCTAAAACTAACTTTATTTCGCGAATCATATAATTTACATCAATGATACATTTTCGTCGCATTTTTATATCGCGATATGTCAATATAACGATGTATCGTTACACCCCGATTTGGTACTACACAGAAACCATCATCGACTATGATCTAAAGTGGTTTTTGATTAAATAATGGGCAGACATGCATTATTTAGTGTTTTATAATAAACTGAACGCTGCTTACCATTTCTCATGCAAAAATTTATTATTCTTTATTGTTATAAAAATACCCCAAGCCACATGAAAAACATATACAGAACATATATCGTCGTAATCATATATTTATTTGGCTTCATGTTTCCACTGTAGAAACGTTTCTCAAAAAGTGAGGGTGCTCAAAATAGGGCCGAGCGATACCTATTGTCTACGACAATATTGTAATTGCTGTTATGTTAAAGGGATTGTTCACCCAAAAATGAAAATTCTGTCATAATTTACTCACCCTCAAGTTGTTTCAAACCTGTATGAATTTCTTTTTTCTGTTGAACACAAAAGATTATATTTTGAAGAATGTCTGTAACCAAACAGTTGATGGGCCCCATTGATTTCCATAGTATTTTCACGAGTTCACACTTACATACAATTAAAGGGAATAAAGTATAATGCGTATTTGGCGTGCTGTCCGGGGGGAGGGCTCCGAGCTCGGAATTTGGCCCGAACCCAGAGTACTCCCCACCGTATGTAAAGTGGTTTTGAACTAGAAGAGTGGAGAAGGGGTGGTGGAGGGACGCTGCTAAACTGTCAGAGAAATGAGGTGAGACTGCTGAGTCTATATATACACGTTTTAATCATGATTGCTGAGTGCTCTCCACCCGTGTTAATTATCTGAACGTGCTTCTCCCGAACTTGTTAATAAAACATCATTTTAATCATGATTGCTGAGTGCTCTCCACCCGTGTTAATTATCTGAACGTGCTTCTCCCGAACTTTGTTAATAAAACATCATTTCTTTTTCCTACTATGGGAGTCAATGGGTGCTTGGGCCTGTCTGGTTACCCATATTCCTCAAAATATCTTCTTTTGTGTTCAGCAGAAGAAAGAAATTCATACAGGTTTGGAACAACATGAGAGTGAATAAATTATGACAGAAGTTTCATTTTTGGGTGAACTATCCCTTTAAACGATATGCGATCTGCATGATCGAGTAGCCTATGTCCCTGTACGAGTTTTTGTGCTTTACATTTATTATATCATATGATATAGTTAAGAAATGTTACACACAGAGTGCTTTTTCCCCAAATATCAGCAGTATTGCAAATGTGTGAAGTATTGAAACTGATTTTATTCTGCAGTTGAATAAAGTTAATATAAGTAACTTACATTATTGACATTTAGTTTCTGACGACAACGAATCAGTCCTTTTAAACGAAACAGCTGATTTAAAGATTAAATGACTCACTCGTTAAGCCAGTCAAATGCTATGGTCACTCGGCGGCGCCGGCCGCGGCACTTGCTAAGATTTATCGCCGGTGTTTGAATGGGTGTCATGCGGTGAGAGTGAGGTTGTAGGGCGGGGTTCGCTGCTGTCATCGCCAGGCGGTGTCATTTCGTCTTGTTGTGATGTAGAGGTTTGAGCTTTCTTGAGCCAATTTCATATGTCCATGATTAAAAAAGGACGATTAATATTTTTAGGCTACCTAAAGGCAGCCCCGTCTCAGAAAGTCAGCTAACGAATTTCCTGAGAGGGACGCACACACGCAAGCAAAGTGGGCAATTAAAGAGACAGCTTCACCTATGCGAATCACGATCGCGAAAGGACACAACCAATCCAATGCATTAAACATGAAAGCATAATGAAATAATTTCTGATTCGAAAAATTGCATTAATGGATTTATTTGGTTTATTATATGAGTGTGAAATCCGTCTGTGTTTCTTTTGTCGGCAAAATCTCGTTTACATGTGTGCTAATAAAAATTTTACCTGAGGGTGCTTTCACTTTTGTTTGAGGGTGCTTAGCACCCTCAAGCACCCCCGTAGAACCGGGCCTGCTTAGACCTTTCTTTGTCAAGATTAGAAAAGGTTTTGATCATAAATTATGAAATATAATAAAATAAAATAATTAAATAATTTAGACTACCGTTTCTATGGTAACGCAATGTTCAATTTCAAAACGGTTTTCACAGGATGAATTCTGAGTTTGTAAGCTTTCAAATGATACCAAATTTATGATAACTACTAAAATATGTGATGTAATAAAAAAAGGCGATAAAAAAGATAATATTATATTTTAGATTTAGAGGATAATATATTATACTTTTTAGAGGATAATATTATATTATAATTTTTTATTAAAAAATACTAGATTATATGTTTTATTATGAACTTTTAGCATGAAAACCAAAGTTTCAATTATTAAAGGTGTGTGCGTCAACTTTTTGTGACAAAGGTCAGAACTCCTGTTATGATGCAGATTTTTTTGAGGTGCACTCTTGTCAAAAATTCATCGGTTACTCTTCTTTCATAATTTGTAGCAAAAAACAGCAGTCAAATATCTATTTAGGATTCTTAGACCTTTCCAACGATATATAGTTTGTCATAATTAGATTAGGATTTAATAGTAATATAGCGAAGTAAAGTTAGGCGTCCCGTATACGGGACGGTGACAGTTGTGTGAAAGGGCCTTAACTCAGGCACCCTTTTATACTCACGGGTGCTCTGTGTGTGACGCCATGGATTGCCATCTGCCTATGATTATTGGCTTTCGTTTACATGTACCTCAGACACTGGTCACGCTGATGGTGTTACCCACAGTGTCAATACCAGACAAAGCATCGAAGTTCCACTTCGAAAGGGAATTGCAATTTGGTGCAGATGCTGATATTTGTATGGTCAAAAAATAAGATGAAATTCTGATAGCTTGTAATGTAAAACAATGAGATCTTTATAACAGTATAGCAGACTACTTTCATAAAATGGATAAAAATATCAGTTCACTATCACTCTATATCTCCCAAAAATATGTCTTAGTGGGATGATATTAAAATGCTTAGTTTTATGATCAAAGCTCTATAGTTTTAAAACATGTAATGCCATGCAATACAATGCTGATTGAGAGATTATCAAATAATTACTACTCAAAAGTATGGATAATCTAGTAAACCTAAATTGCTACAGTCCAGTAAGTGTTCATCTTGAAATATTCCTAATATAACAGTTACTCTTGTGTTTATGTTTTAAAAATCTGTAAAGATTTCACAGCAAAAAGACATGTCACAACCTGAAGATGTACATTTTTATAATTATACTAATAAGCCTTTTACTAGCTAAAAAAAACCTATAAACTACCAATAAGACCACAGAAGGCATGTAGTAGATTGTGTGCAACAAGTTTTTCAGCAAAGTTTTGATCATGTTGATAATGTAGAGGCATTGGAAATTTGTGTATTAAATATAATACAGTTGGCTTTATATGGTTAATGTAATCTGAGGTTCCTTTTGAGTAAATTATTGCCTATGTAGACAGCAAGACTGACGGTAAGACTTACTCCTTCAGAAGTAAATAGGATGAAACAGGGGAGCAATGTCACAAATAATGCTATGATCTGTTGATTGTGTTTATTTTTATGATGTAAAAGACAGAGACTTTTAAAGGGAACTGATCTGTACCCTTATATTTCTTTGCAGAGGGGATGCGTGTGAGTTTGGTGTCAATCTCGTCGTCTTCAGAGATCTTTAGCACGGTTGTGCGGTACTCAATGACCCGGGTCAAGAGGTCAGGTCGCCGTGAGATCTCAAAGATGTGCTCTATGTAGGATAGGTCATCTATGCAAAACAGACAAATCACAGAGATGTCATATAAAACAGAACAAAAGCATAAAAACATATCTGTACAATAAATTAAATTGTTAATGGAATGGAAATACTTGTTATAAATCACTCAGATTTAATTTCTAACGCATTCAACTTCCTTTGTTGTTTTTTTTTTTAACAGAATGCTTGAGCATATTTAAACATGGTGCCTCAAAATGTGTCACAAAATATAAAATATCACATTACGTCACATTTTTGAGCATTTCTATAAATTTTCCATGAAATTATGCGATGATTGCGATCTGATGAGGTTTGAGCGATCTCTCCCATCCTCATCCTTTCAGCCAGAGCAACCGAGGGAGCTCATGAGAAGAAAACGTCTCAGGTTACGTATGTAACCCTGGTTCCCTGAGAGGGAACGAGACGCTGCGTTTGAGACGCGGTGGGAACGCTCTGCGTGATTGCGTCATGAAGCACGTGTAAAATCAGTCCAATGGAAGCCCGATACGTCATGGGTGACGTCATAGACCAGGAAACTATAAATCACCCTTGAAAACAGACCGCGACAGCTTCTGAAAAAGTCTGAAGCAAGTCGATCAGGGCATGCAGGAAGTATGGCAGGCAAACGCAGCGTCTCGTTCCCTCTCAGGGAACCAGGGTTACATACGTAACCTGAGACGTTCCCTTTCAAGGGAACTTCGAGCTGCGTTTGAGACGCGATGGGAACCCCATACCCACTACGCCATAGTGACAAATGCCCGTTCTGTGTGAAGTCCTTGCGCACACTAAGAAGCAAGCAACCTCGCCCCAGGAGTGGAGAAATCAAGGTCATAAAACCTGACAAATGTATGTGGAGAGGACCAACCTGCCGCATTACAAATGTCAAGAAGGGAAACACCCGAAATTAAGGCCGTAGAGGCCGCCATACTCCTTGTAGAATGGGCCCGTACAGCCATAGGTGAAGGCTGACCGGCCGCTTCATAAGCCAATGATATAGCCTCAACTATCCATTTGCTCATAACCTGTTTAGATGCAGGGCACCCTCTTCTGAGTGACCCAAAACATACAAATAACTGCTCTGACTTACGCCACAGGGCAGCTCTGTGAACGTAGGCATCCAATGCCCGAACTGGACATAACAGGTTCAGTTGTTCCTGATCTGGGGTATTAAAAGGTGGAGGATAAAAGGCCTGCAACACTATTGGGCCCCTAACATTAACTGGGACCTTAGGAATATAACCCGGTCTAGGGTATAGAAATGCTTTCACCATACCAGGTGCAAATTCCAGACATGACGGAGCAACCGACAGGGCATGCAAATCTCCAATTCTCTTGATAGATGAAATAGCAAGGAGAAATAAAGCTTTCAAAGTGAGAAATTTTTCTGAAACCTCTTCAATAGGCTCGAAGGGAGCCAGAGCCAGACCCTCAAGTACAATGGCTTAATCCCAAGCCGGTGCTCTAGAGTGCAGTGCAGGTCTCAACCTCAATGTACCACGGAGAAAACGAGTAATCAGAGGATCTCTCCCAAAAGAAGTACCCCCCAGAGGGGTATGATAGGCCGAAATAGCCGCCACATAAACTTTTAAGGTGGAAGGAGATAATCCAGCAGAGAAACGGTCTTGCAGAAAATCGAGAACTGAACCAACAGGGCAGTTAACAGGATCTAACTGACGCTCACCACACCAGGTGGAGAATAATTTCCATTTCAGTGCATAAAGTCTTCTCGTGGAAGGAGCTCTGGAATGGAGAATGTCTCAACGACCTCAGTCGAGAGACTGGATTCTATGAGCCTGGCCCCCTCAGAGGCCAGGCCCACAGTTTCCACAACTCCGGTCGAGGGTGAAATATCGTGCCCCCTGCCTGGGACAGCAGGTCCCTCCTGAACGGAATCTCCATGGGAGAGCCGTCCAGAAGAGACAAAGTCCGAGAACCAAACTCGAGTCGGCCAGTACGGGGCTACTAGTAGCAGATGAGCCCCTTCCCGGCGAACCCTCTCCAGAACCTCCGGGAGCATAGATATCGGGGGAAATGCGTACAGGTGCAGCCTCGGCCACACCTGCACCATCGCATCCAGTCTGAGAAGAGCTGGCTGCGTGAGGGGGAACCATATAGAGCAATGCGTTGTACAAACGATGTGAAAGGTCGACTTGACTTTAGTTAGACCAAAGTTCTCCCTAAGAAGCTCCACCACCTCGGGGTGAAGTCTCCAATCCCCAGTGCCCGGTTGCATAAAGCACCTTAAGTGTAATTTTGCCCTTAAAGTCGCCCTTATGTTTCCCTTAAACCTAAGGGTGTTGCAGAAAAATACCCTTAAGTGTTACTTAACGGTTTTTTTAAGTGAAACGTCATAAACACTTAGAATTTCCCTTAAATGCTGTTTTTTCACTTAAGTAATCGTTAAGTGTTGCATAAAACCCCTTAACGGTAATTTCCCTAAGTATAAGTTAAGGTTTGGAAATCGTAACCTTAAGAGTAACGCGGACAAAAATAAGACGACATGGCTGAATTTATGAAACCAGCTGAAGATCATAGGGAATAGGGAGAACCCTTTGGACCAATTTAGCCATGAAAAATTGTTGCAAGAATACCGATTTGATCGACACGCAATATTTGACATCGCTATCAAACTAGACGGCTGTCTGTCTGTCATTACACGCGACTCGCATGTAAACTATCACAACGTTAAGTCAGTGCGCGCACGGAGAGTGTGTGGCCGACAAAAAATTCACAGGAGAACGAGCTGATTCTGTGTTTTAAAAGGAATCATGACAGAAGAAAACAGGTATGCTATGGAAATATACTCAGCTGTATTTCGAGACACAGAGCCAGAAGTGCATTCACAAAACCTAAACAAATGCCAAAGCATGAGACGGTGAACAACACAAACTGCCGCCACGTTCGGAGCTAACGCGGTGTTGCGTGATAGCGTCACTGGACTGACACGTGATATTCCGACATGTTAGTGTTTTGCGCATCTATGGCAACAACAGACTTTTATAACGTGAATCCAGGATCGCTGTCGTGAAACACTTAAATGTTTCCCTTACCTAAGAGAACCGTTTAAGAGATTATATGCAACACCCTTAAGTTGTTCTCTTAGGTAAGGGTAAATCGCCCCTTAAGTATCATACTTAAGGGAAAAACTTAAGGTACTTTATGCAACCGGGCACTGGGCCTCAGCCCCTGCCTCAACAGGATATCTGCTCTGATATACGAGACCATCAGTGTGTTGTCCGCCATTCGCCGAGCAACCACTCATGATCGCCCCCACTTGTGAGGGAAGCATCCGTCGATAGCAATATGCGTCGACAAGAAGCCCCCAACACTGGGCCTGGGCGAGGAACCAAGGTTCTTCCACATGACCGAAGCACGAAGGCATAGCCGCGTGACCTTGATCATGCGAAAACGTATTTCCCCTCGGAGAAAAACCCCTTGGTCCTGAGCCACCACTGCAGGGGTCTCATGAACAGAAGGCCAAAAGTAATACGTTGGACGCAACTGCCATGAGACCCACCCGTCTGAAACTGTTTCACAGTGAGTGACTGGCCTAGATATACCCCATTACGGCTGTAAGAATTGCTACACCTAGAAAAGTGGTCCTCAGAGCACACTCTTCTTGGCGTTGAGAGGCAACTCCAACATCCTTAATGAGACAGAACGACATCTCGATGCCGAACTGCCATAAACTCAGATTGAGCTAGGAACAACCAATCATTGATGTAGTATAATACGCGAATGCCCTGGAGTCTCAGAAGAGCCAGAGCTGCATCCACGCATACTGTAAAGGTGTGGGGTAATAAACCTAGGCCGAATGGAAGAACCCGATAATGGTATGCTTCGCCCCCGAAAGCAAACCTCGGGAACCTCCCTCATCCTCTTTCGGAAACAATGAAGTAATGGCTGTCTGCTGGGAGGAGGAACCCCTTCTACAGCTCCTTTTGCAGAAGTGACAGTACTTCCTGCTCCATAACCAAAGCCTGCTCGGGGTCCACCAATGAGAGGAGGACCCCTAGAAATCTGGGCGAACGAGAACCGAACTGAATTCTGAAACCCTTTTCTATAGTGTGCAGGACCCACTGAGAAATATGTGGCAGTAGTTTCCACGCTGCCAGAAATTTACTAGGGGAACCAGTCTCTCAAGACTGGCCTCTGGATTTGTTTGAACAGTCACTACGGCGCCCTGAAGCGGCGAACCGGCAGGGAACAACCGAACTGACCATTCTACGACCCTCCTCAGAGGATCGTATGGGGATGCTGACACCTCGGTGCCCTGAACGGCGAACCGGCAGGGAACAACCGAACTGGCAGCGCTGCAACCCTCCTCAAAGAGTTGCACCCCAGAGGAAAAACGATTTCTCAAAACCGTCCCTTGGTTGAACAGTCACTTCGGCGCCCTGAAACGGCGAACCGGCAGGGAAACCGAACTGACTGCTCTTCTTTTTTCTTATTTGAAGGCTCGTTTGGGGACACTGACACCTCGGTGCCCTGAACGGCGAACCGGCAGGGAACAACCGAACTGGCAGCGCTGCGACCCTCCTCAGAGAGTCGCACCCCAGAGGTCGCCGAGGAGAAACGATTTCTCAAAACCGTCCCTGCCCCGGAGGAGCCCTCAGAAGCCTGATAGCCTCGTTTTCTTGCGACAGGACTTCTTGTCTAAGCTTTATTAGAGATGATGACAGTCCTCAGATCTTGCCTACCTCTAACTAGCTTAGTTCCTACGACCCTCCTCGGAGGATCGTTGAAAAAAGCAGGCACTTCGGCGCCCTGAAACGGCGAACCGGCAGGGAAACCGAACTGACTGCTCTTCTTTTTTCTTATTTGAAGGCTCGTTTGGGGACACTGACACCTTGGTGCCCTGAAACGGCGAACCGGCAGGGAAACCGAACTGGCAGTACTGCGACCCTCCTCAGAGAGTCGCACCCCAAAGGGCGCTGAGGAGAAACGATTTCTCAAAACCGTCCCTACCCCAGAGGGGACCACCCTTAGAAGCCTGATCGCCTCGGCGTCAGGGCTTCTTCTTTGTCAAAGCTATTTTAGAGATAAAACAGTCCTCAGATCTTGCATGTCTCTAACTGGCTAGACTGCGACCGCCACCCAGGTACCCCTCAATTGCGGAGGAGCCCGAATGGCGACGCTCTGTTTTGCACTTTGTGCTGAGAGGAGCATAATAGGCCGTCTCAGGAACATTAGATTGGTGAGGAAGAAACCTCTGGAACGCCGCTGAATGGTTTATTTCTTAGTTTTCTTGAAAGCGGAGCGTCCAGAAGAACAGACATAATTATATCTTTATTTTCCTTTATCTTTATATCAGAAAAACTTATATATATATACATATATATCACTCTGCGGCCACCAGCAGTAAACAACCGAACTGGCAGCGCTGCGACCCTCCTCAGAGAGTCGCCCCTCACATTCATCCATGTCCTTATATACTCTACCCACCAGCGCTGCCTAATAAAAATGTATTCATTATTAAGATGGCTGGTGGGTAACGTCGGGGTTAATAACGATAACGCCGACTCGGGAGAGAGAAAGCTCGCAAGCGTCTCTTTAACCCGAGGCAATGTCATACTATGATACTTAATACCCAAACATTACTATAGTCAGACATCTGGGGATTAAACACATAAAATACAAACCGGTTTATTCCACGATCTCGACACCTCAGTGTGGAGATAGGGAAAAACCACAGTCCCCGACGAGGAGGCTGAGATACAGAGTTTTCCTGTTTTAAGATACAGTTCATCTAACAAACTCTTCTTTATTTTCAATCTCATAATGTTCAGCTGGCCAGTAAATATTTAACTGGCAACAGCACTAGATAAAACCTCCTTTTTTTTCTTTAAAAAAGCTCCTCTTTATTCAACAGAGTTATGAGCTGGAAAATTTATTCATTGAAAACTCAAACATCTGCCTTTTTATAAAGATTTGTATTTGTTTTCTTTCTTTTTAAACAAAACACTAACGATACCAATTCCTCGGAACTGGAAATCGCAGCACACTAGATCTGGCATGTGAAAGCTGAGAAAGGGCGGAGCCCGTCCCAACCCCCGCTGTCAGATCCGTTTTCGAACCCCGAAATACGAGCCGTCTCCGAGCCTCGGCAACAGAGAGACCCGCTCGGGGAACGCGAACCGAACCGTCCTCCTCGAAGAACGCCCGGCGGGAGCGGAGCGTCCTCACGGACCGCTTCTCGCAATGCACAGTCAGATCCCTCGAGAAATGACTGTTGCATGCTCCACTCCCAAACAGCAACAAAAAGCTGATGTGTGTCCCCACCCGTGATGTAACGAGGGCAGGGAACAACACAACGTCTATAATATTGCTTTGCTCGCCATAATGATAGATAGTGATATATATATTGGGCTTGACAAACAACAATAAATAGACAAGGACAGAATCACAGAGAGCGCTTGCTGAAGACAACAGAAGCTGTCGCGGTCTGTTTTCAAGGGTGATTTATAGTTTCCTGGTCTATGACGTCACCCATGACGTATCGGGCTTCCATTGGACTGATTTTACACGTGCTTCATGACGCAATCACGCAGAGCGTTCCCACCGCGTCTCAAACGCAGCTCGAAGTTCCCTTGAAAGGGAACAGGATTTATTAGTTATTCGAGTTAACCGGAGTTCATTTTCCATAAACGTATGTAATTATTATCTGAATGATTAGCATAAGCATCCTTTAACATTGCATGTAAGTCCGTGTCTGAATGTGTTTAAATGTTTTAAATGTTGAAGTTAGCTGGTAGCCTGATATAACATGGTAAATGAGCAGCGGTGTTGACCATCTCCTGACTCAGGTAAACTCCGCCTCTCTTCATGGCCACTCCTCAGGCCACAGTTGGCCCGCTTTGGACCAAGCAAGGTATTCAGCGGGCCCAAACAAACCCTGGCCGAGAGAGCCCAGATGAGGCCGATCAAGCCCCGGATGTGACAGTGGAAAAGTGACTTGCCCTGACACGCACTAGTAGCTCGCTTTTGGCCCAACAGTGGAAATGTGGCTAATCAGTCTTGAGGGTAGGGTTTATTGATATAGTCGGAAAGTATGCCACGCCTTGAAGTGGTGGAAAACAAAGCACTGTTTTCATCGTTATTCATTCCTAAAACTACTGTGTAGTTTTTTGGACTTTGAACAAAGCCAAAAACCTGGAACTAAGTATAAATCGCCTGCCAACCAAACAGAAATGAAACCAAAAGAAGCTCAGATTGCTCTGATTGCAAGCTATTTGTCAAGAAGAAATTAAGATACATCTGTGGAATCCCACAACTAAGCAGCATGTATGTCAAAAATGTTTTAAATGTTAAAATAAAGATACAAATATAGTTGAAACAATATGAATACATTTAAAAGAATAATGTTGAATAAAATGCTGAAATGAAGCAGAATTCAGAGCATCCTCCTACGAAACGAACATGAACTGCAGTTTTCTTTTTGCTTCTTTTGTTCTGGTTGCCAGGTAAACATAAAATCAAATCTGGATTTTTTACTTTGTTTGAATTTAAGTGGGGGAAAAAAATTGCCATGTTTTTAGTGCAAAAATAGCCAAATTCCCCGTTTTCCACCACTTGTGGGCATGGCATACTTTCTGACTATATCAATAAACCTCACCCTTTAAGACTGATTGACATTTGACTGTGGGCATCGGAAATGCAAGTGCAAAGGGGATTGCGATTCCATTTGAATATTGTGAGGGTCGGGGCAATAGCAAATGAGTGATTTTCTATTGCTATTCCAAAATAGCAGGGTCATAACTTGTAAGACATTGGAAATGCAATTGCAAATTGACTTTGCATTTCCATTTGAAATTTGGCAAACATGTTACATACACGGAAAAGAAAGTCCAAACACAATTACAAATCACGCATTTGTGTTTCCATGTCACAACATATGTGTGCACAAATTGAAAATGCAATTGCAAATACAATCTGCAATTCCCTTTGAATATTGTCCGGAATATCATTCCATACATTTAAGTACACTTTTAAAAAGTGCATTTTTTGATAATGTCAAATTAAAAGTTTTACTTTACCATACATTTTAAATCAATATGTTTAGCCATATTTCAAAGACAATAGAATTATGAAATTACATGTAAAGATGCAAATCCAAAAAGAAAAAGCACTCACCTATAATATATTGCATTTAATTGCAGTTAACATGCAATTAAGTGTCTGCAAACATTACTCACACTTAAGTATTTTCTTTTAAAGTTTATTAAATACTTTTATTAAAAGTATGTTAAAGTTGACTTCTTTTTCACAAGGGCGGTTATGTCAAACATCGATTGTTCTTCCTTTCAATCACGGCCTTTGAGAGGCATGGCAGAGAGGGAGATTATCAGTGACTAATAATTGAATTCTAATTTATACTTAACACGTCCACAGGGTGAGTAAATTATGCATTTTAATTTAAGTGAACGGAACTTAAGGTTTGATAACTTCATTCACTCTGTTGATTGAAACTGAAGAGGCCAGTGTCTTTTGCTCTCTGTCTCACCTTGTGCCAGTTTGTCATTCTTCTCCAGGTAGCTGAACCACTCTTTGGAGGAGATGATGGAGTTACTCTGTTCTTCAGGGATGTCCTCCTTACAGGCTGACTTCAGCTGCTCCACGTCTTCATTAGTGATGTTCTCAGACAGATCACTCAACAACGAGCTGTATTCAGACATTCTCTGGGAAAGACGGACAGAATGAACAGATAAGCACAAAAACGTATATGTAAGCTCTGCTTCATACAATAGCATTGCACCATATCAGAATAACCTAAGAATGTATTTCTGCAATACGAACAGTATTACTAGAAATAGTAGAAATCCCTCTCTAGGACTAGTACTAGATGCATGTATAAATGTCCTAAGTTTTTGACTTTTTTGTACCTTTTGTCATTGCTTCATTCATTTTTTTGTCAGCCATTTAATTTTTGGCATTTGTTCATTTGCTTGTAATCCTTTTTTGTTTATTTCAATACTTCCTGAAAAAAACTTTACTTAAAGGAGAGCTCCGGCACAAAATGAACCTTTGGTCTAATAAAACATTGGTACCTAGTCAACCGTTCTCTGAGATTTGTTTTCATGATAATCGAATGTAAAGAGTTTTATCTCTAAAAACTGTTTAGCGTATAACGCTAGTAATGGGGGCATTTAATAAGTAAAAAGAAATCGCTAGTTTATACCACTAACAAGGCTCAAAATAGCCCCACACGAACACAGTAACATAATGAGGGTCTCTACATGCAAAACGAAGCATTGAGAACTCTGTAAGTGTACAGACTGTTTAATAAGAAGATAAAGATGAAGACAGTCCACTTCGTGTATAGAGACAGGAGCCATCTTTGGAAAACAGTCTCGACTAATCAAACCACGAACGACGTGCTAAGTGAGCTGAACTGTATGAAGTTCAGTGAACTTCTGAACTGTATGAATGGCGTTCGTGGTTTGATTAGTCGAGACTGTTTTCCAAAGATGGCTCCTGTCTGTATACACGAAGTGGACTGTCTTTATCTTTTTCTTCTTATTAAACAGTCTGTACACTTACAAAGTTCTCAATGCTTCGTTTTGCATGTAGAGACCCTCATTATGTTACTGTGTTCGTGTGGGGCTATTTTGAGCCTTGTTAGTGCTATAAACTAGCGATTTCTTTTTACTTATTATATGCCCCCATTACTAGCGTTATACGCTAAACAGTTTTTAGAGATAAAACTCTTTACATTCGATTATCATGAAAACAAATCTCAGAGAACGGTTGACTAGGTACCAATATTTTATTAGACCAAAGGTTCATTTTGCGCCGGAGTTCTCCTTTAATGGCACTGAAGTTTTGGATTTTTTAGACCTGGGATAGTCTTGTGCACTTATTTCCTGAGGCGCTCTCAATGACGTAATGACAGGCTCAGAATGACGTAATCGGCAACGAACATTTCTGGGATATTTTGGCTACATTTTTCTACGAGGAAGGAAGCGGAGACATCTTGTCCATCTTTTTTTTTTACAGTCTATGGGACAGACCCTGAGGGTAATAGATCAAAGTTTCCCTTGTCACAGCTCTCTGTCTCCCTCTAGTGGAGCTCATGACCATCGCAATTTACAAAAACAACATCTTCCCACTTCCTCAGAAATTCCTGCCTCACAAACAGTGCTGTTATCATCAGCACCTTCATGTTGTCAAAATACCAAGACGTGGTACGATATACTGCAAGATCCATGTGGCCACATTTACTGTGATGGCAAACAAATCAATCTGAACGCGTTTACTGTTGGCAGCCCACATGAGGACAGAGGTCTGAGGAAACTGTGCAGGATCCAAAGCCAAGATGGACGCCTCTGTTATTTTACAATGTATTGTTTGTGCTGTGTGACAGCCGGTTTAACAGTGCAGACATTCTACATTCATCACCCTCAATGTCACTGGTATAATACAGTGTGTGTGAGTGATGGAAGAAATAGAATGAGTGGGAAACATACAAAGGCATCCCCCCCACACACGCTTTATACAAATTTCATATACGTACAAACGCTGTTGGCATGCTTCTGTTTATTTGCTACGTCTGTGACAGTATCTGTAAACCGCACTGATCTGCTGGTGACCTAAATACAGTGCTGCAGTTACGTGATCCACCAGCAGAGGGAGAGAGAGAGAGAGAGAGAGAGAGAGAGAGAGAGAGAGAGAGAGAGAGAGAGAGAGAGAGAGAGAGAGAGAGAGAGAGAGAGAGAGAGAGAGAGAGAGAGAGAGAGAGAGAGAGAGAGAATATATAAAGTCCATGCAAATGTAGTTTGACACATCTCATGTCACATCCAACATCAGAGCAATGCAATAGTGTTAAGAGATTCAGGTAAGTGCACAGGTTTAGATTTAGCTGGTATCATGACACTCAACATGCCTCTTGCTTTTGTTAGTACTGTACACAAATAAAAATGTATGTGCAGCACATAAATAATATAAAGACAAGAACAATCAAAATTCAGTATGCAAATAAATCTAGGAAAGAAGACTGATCATAAGATAGAATGCAAATATTATTATTACAAAAAAATTAGTTTATTCGTGTGTGCTATTAGTAGCCTGTACTTCTTTTAAACTAATACTTTCAGTCAACCTTTTATGTACTTCTCAAAAAAGCACGTAAAAGTCTAAATATATTTGGCCTATACTTGCACTCACTCAATCTTTTGATCGAGATATACTTAAAAGTATAATTAAGTATTCTAAGTATGGATTGGCTTGTAGTTGTGTTTAGTCTAGGGATGTTCCGTTCAAGATTTTTGCAGTCGATACAACAACCAATTTCTTGTCATCATGATCGCCCGATACCGGTCCCAATCATTCAAGCTTTATATGAGTGATATATAAGCTCTCTGTTGAATGTCACTCTTCTAGGGCGCATATCGATGCAAGCACCCTTCTGAAACCTAAAATGACAAATGGGACACCCTACGGTCTCATGGACTTAACGGACACATGCACGCAACAGCTATTGAAAAACCACTAGACCGAAAGTGCATAAGTGTGCCATTTGGGACAGGGCCTAAGTGACAACCGATCGCTCTGTAAAAGATCAATGAGATCATCCCTAGTTTACTCTTTTGATTGAGCATCCTATTATAATTATTTTTTTCACGTAGTTTTACATACTGTCTTAAACTTATGTTTTGGCATCCAATAAAACAGATTAGTTTGAAAATATTGATTTATAAAGAAAACGGAGTGTTCCTAATTCTAAATATGGGAATTTTTGTGTAGTTCACTGGTAGTGTAGGAATTTACTTCAAATCTAAAAACTAAAACTCTCCCCACCATTGATGGAATTTTCCTTCATTTATATTACAACGCTTCCTGGCCATTGACGGAATGTTTTCAATGTTATACGGTAGGGGGCGCTATTACGCATCTTCTGAAAGAGCACAGGATCTCCAGATCAAAACACAGGCGAAGGATACACAGAAACAAGCATTATAAGCATCGCTTACGCTCATGTAAGCTAATGTGATCATTAAACATTAAACAGCATGAAATATAAATGAAAACTTTGTTACTGAATGAAATGTCAACCCAGGAAGAGCTATAGCCAGGACTGTGCAAGCTTTGGGGGCAGTGGCGTGCCCAGAACTCTGCTGAGGCAGGGGAGAAATTGCATTCCGGACGAGGGGATCCCCCTCAGCACTTCAATACGACCGAAAGGCCACTTTATTTTTAGTAAGGGTACATCATCACTACCTGTTGCATTTTGAAAGGTGAACATTCAATAATGAACATTTCAAATTTTATTCCTAAATTCCATTTTATAATCTTTAAGGCCCTTTCACACTGAGTGCGACACGATAAAGGTAAGCCAGGGGTACCCAATCCTGTTCCTGGAGATATACAGTACCTTCCTGCAGAGATCAGATCCAACCTTGATCCAACACACCTGTCTGTAACCAACACACCTATCAAGTGCTCCTGAAGATCTTAATTAGCTGGTTCAGTTGTGTTTGATCAGAATTGGAGCTGAACTTCAGGAAGGTAGATCTCCAGGAACAGGATTGGGCACCCCTGAGGTAACGAATCGCCAATGAACGTGTGAACACTGAACGTGAAACGATTGATTGCCTTTAGCTAAGTCACCCCTGCATGATAGGTGGCACTGACCAATAATACGTTTTTCCTCATGTATCTCATAGGTTTTCCCATTTGGCTTTAACCTCGTCTGCTGCACAACATATACGAGTACGTGTAATAATTTCCAACTGCAATCTAAAGTGGATTTTGATTAAATAATGGACAGATATGAATTATTTGTAGTGTTTTATAGTAAACTGAACAGTACACTTGCTTAGCATTTCTCATTCTTTATTGTTATAAAAAATACCCTGAGCCGCGAAAAACACATACAGAACATATATCATCGTAATCATACATTTAGGCTTCAAGTTTCATCTGTAGAATCGTTTCACTCAGTTGTTTATGTGTGAACTCAGAACAAGGAAGTGAACACAACGTCGTAATTCGAAAGGCCAGGAGTTATGGTCACATAATATGATTGACAGCTCTAGAGTGAATGAGCTCTCTGACTCATAACAGACATGCACAGAAGAAAACTGTACTCTGTACACTGTTTCAAGCTCTTCAGATCACATAATTCAGTGTAAAATTAATAGAAATTATAATCTGTAAAGAACATGTAAAAATAAATCTTGCATGTTTGTAAATTTTACCGCAGTCCGCCGGATTCAGGCCGTATCCAGATCTGATTAAGGACCTGCGTCTGGACGCGACGACAACGCAGTCCTGAAGTGTCACTAGTCCCTCCCTGTGAAGGCCCCCTTCCCTTTACCTCTGTACAGATAATTCCGGTTCACGTGGCTACGCCGAAGCGATAAAATTCTGTATAATAAATTTTAAGGCCAGCCAAGTAGCTTGTTGAGGGTTGGTTTTTTAGGGAAGGACTACCTGCCTGCGCACATATATTCAAATGCGCATACCTATAGAATGAACTCTTAATAACGCATGTGCACGCCATCAGCGTTCTCACAGGTTCGCGTTTTTAATGTTTGCGTAGAGAGAACTTAAGAGTTTTCTGTTAAAACGGTGTCATGTTAGCGGCCCCTAAATTAATAACTAATGATCGTTGCGTCGGAAGTGAGTCAACTAAAATTAACTTTAGCTGGAAAATAACTTTATTCTAGAGCTGTCATAA